TGCGGCTCGGCGGCGGAGGGGCCCCCTGCCTGCCCCGACAGGGCCACCTCGGGCTCTGCTTAGGCAGCCCACAGGGAGAGCCTACAGGCTGGGGAGGGACAGCCCGCCCCAGGCCCCTCACAGCACCCTGTCCCAGACCCCCAGGCCCCGGACCCAGACCACCCACCCTGCCACCCCTAGCTTGGTCTCCAAGGGTGAGAGAGACAGGAGGCCCAACTGAGGGTGCAGGCTGCCCTTGGAGTGGGCCTGGCTCTGTCCTTGCTGAAGTCTGAGGCCTAGAGAGAAGGGTGCTCACCGGCTGGGTCCCCACTGCCCGCAGGGGCTCACCCAGAACTCCGCCAGGAGCACCTGCTCCGCTTCTGTGGGGTCGCACAGACTTCGTCCTGACCTAACCCAGGTCCTCTTGGGGATGCTGGGATGTGGCCTCCAAAAAGGGGGTCTGCAGGGTGGAGACCCCCTTTGCTAAGCCCCTGTAAGGCAGCTGACTGTGCCCCCCAGGACCTTCTTTTTAAAAAAATTTTTTTTTTTTATTGATTTCAGACGGGAAGGGAGAGGGAGAGAGAGATAGAAACATCAACAATGAGAGAGAATCATTGATCAGTTGCCTCCTGCACTGGGGATGGAGCCCGCAACCCAAGCATGTGCCCTAACCAGGAATCGAACCGTGACCTCCTGGTTTACAGGTCGATCGATGCTCAACCACTGAGCTACTCCGGCTGGGCGAGTATTTGTTATTTGATTTGAGAAGGAGCGAGAGAGAGATCCATCACCTCCTGTAGGCGATCGAACCCTAGGTAAGTGCCCTGACCAGGAATGAACCTGCAACCATCTGAGCCACTGGCAGGGCCCCAGGACCTCCTTGTTCAGGCAGTGCCTGAGCAGGCCCCTTCCCTCCACCAAATGTGCCCCAGAGGCTCAGGGTGGCTCAGCCCAGCTCTCCGCACTAAGGGACCTGGTCTCTCTCTGCTCTCCCAACCCACTCCCAAAACAAGGCTCCCACAGTTCTTTGAGCATCACAGTTGCCTCCCACTCCAAACCCTTGCAGGGGCCATTTTTCCTCCCTTCCCCTCTCTGCCCAGCTAAAAGGCTCCCCAGCTAAGTTGTCACCTCTCCTAGGCTTGTTGTCCTTATTGGCAGGGCCACAGCCCCAGAGCCACCTGCAAGGAGGTTGGGGGTAAGGGGTGTGCTGCACTAGACAATTTTGGATGTCACTACCTGGCCAGTAAGCCTGCAAGGTATCTAGTTAGCAACCTCCACTGGCTGCTCTGAGTGTGGGTATCTGTTGGTGTGGCAGTATGTGTATGTGTGTGGGTGTGTTTGCTTGTATCTGTGACTGTGTGTATATGCATGTTTGTGTTTGAGTGAGTCTCTTGTGATGTGTGTATTATTTAATAATTTTATTTTTAAATATATTTTTATTGATTTCAGAGAGGAAGGGAGAGGGAGAGAGAGATAGAAACATCAACAATGAGAGTCAGCCCAGCTCTCCGCACTAAGGGACCTGGTCTCTCTCTGCTCTCCCAACCCCCTCCCAAGACAAGGCTCCCACAGTTCTTTGAGCATCACAGTTGCCTCCCACTCCAAACCCTTGCAGGGGCCATTTTCCCTCCCTCCTCCTCTCTGCCCAGCTAAAAGGCTCCCCAGCTAAGTTGTCACCTCTCCTAGGCTTGTTGTCCTTATTGGCAGGGCCACAGCCCCAGAGCCACCTGCAAGGAGGTTGGGGGTAAGGGGTGTGCTGCACTAGACAATTTTGGATGTCACTACCTGGCCAGTAAGCCTGCAA